TTAAGATTAAATCCACTAGTGATAAAGCAAACCCTCTGTAGCACCATCCTAGTATCAAAACCAGATCAATCCCTAAATCCTTAAGGTTAGGTGTGAGTCCATATTCTTCCTTTCCTTAGGATTAAATCTACTAGTGGTAGAGCAAGTTCCCTGAGGCACCATCCTAGAATCAAAATAAAAATTTTATAAGCCTGTAAGGATAGGTGTGAGTCCCCATACTACCTTTCCTTAAGACTAAATTTATTAATGATGGAGCAATCCCTTCATGAAAACATCTTAGCATCAAACTAAATTCAATATTTTGATCCTTTAGGAATAGGTGTGAGTCCTTGAGCTTCCTATTTCTTAAGATCTAAACTAAGTTAGTGTTGGATTAAGCCTGCTATGCCCCTTCATAGCTTAATCACCTTTAGTGTATTAAGATAAGGTGTGAGACCCTGTGCTTCCTTTATTTAGACCAAAAGGTAAACCAAATTAAAGAATTTATAATCTTATAGGAGTAGGTATGGGTCCCTAAGTTTCCTATCTCCTAAGAACTAACTAGTTGATGTTTGATTGAAGGCTGTCAGGACCCTCCACAGCTTAGCCACCTATTTAGCATCTTAAGGTTAGATGTGAGACCCTGTGCTTCCTTTCTTATATCTATAGGTAAATTAAATTTAACATAAATCTATCAATTGGGTATAAGTTTCCTATCTGTATCCTTTAGACTTGAGGTTAGTTGATTCCTTTCAATAGAATTAAAATCCCAATTCTGATCTCTATTAAGATCCATCAAATTAGTCAATTCTAATATGTTTAATATAAATCCATTCTACTGCACATATTGGGGGTAAATTTATTGATCTCATTTTTGTAAGAGGTTGACTAAGCCAAATTCAAATTCATTCCGAAATAAAATCAAATCTAATTCAGAGAAAATCCAAATCCCTTCAATTTATAGTCACCTAGTGGCTATCATTTAATCCCTCCTACTCTATCATTAGAAGTCACATGAGTAATTTTTTAATCATATGAGTAAACCAAATTCAGTCAACCAAATTCAAAATCAAAGCCAAATGCAAAATTTTGATTCAAAAGTCAAAGCCAAAATCTTATGTCCCATAACCTTTTTTGAGTAATTTTTTAATTATATTAAAAATAAATAAAATGACCTTGAAATCATGATTTGTCAATTATATATTAATTAGATATGTCCCTAGGATCAACCCTCCAAATTCAGGAGCAATCCTAGTTGTCTAACTCCAAATGTTGAAATGAATTCCGAAAGAGTAAAACCTTCAAATATTTATAACTCATGCCACTGGACTATATATCTTATGAAATTGGACCATGGGAATCTCTCAAAAACACTTAAAAAGGCCCATTATCATTCTAATCACATGTTAAACCCAAAATAAAACTTTAAGTGGACCTTGGTTGACTATGGGCTCATTTGACCCCAAAACCTCTAAAGGAAAAAATCAAACCTTCTCATAAACCTCATTACATGTCATTCAAACAAAACTTTAAAAAGACATCCCAAATATCATTTGGGATGTGCTAAAACTATGCCCAAGCCTTGATCAAGCTTGGTTGACCAAGTCAACCACATCTGACTAAATAACCCCTTGATGGTCCAAAATGCATTTCATGCAGGAAGACCTCACTATTTTATAGGACCACTTCCATTGAGTCAAAAATGTCATTTTAAATTCATTGAACCTAACCCCAATCCTACAATCAATCCTAACCAAAATCCATTGCTTTAAGAATTTTCAAAATAAATTGAACCCTTGGAATTAATGGACCCTAAAATCTTCCATAGGAGACCCAACCCTTGGGTCCAGTTGGGCTAGCCACATGGCTCAACCCAAGTGATCAAGAGGAGTTTTTCTTAAGATAAATCTCAACCTTGAACAAATCAAGCTCCAAAAATTATTTCATTGTATATATAATAAGAGTAAATCTTGATATGACTTATGTGTTAATTTGATAGTGAAAATGTGTTGTTTTAATTATATTTATGTATTAAAATTTAAGAAATGGAAAAAATTTTCTGAGTATTGTATAACACCGTGATGTTGGACACAATATTGTCATAGTGCCATCATTGACATCGTCAGAGTAACCAAATATGGATATGGTGGTGCCCAGCCTTTGTTTGACATCACCACAGTATTGGAGGAGTCAACACTGTAAAGCCCAGGCTCTATTTTATAGTGTCGCAGCATCGGAGGAGAATACTGTAAAGCCTAATATCTGTGTGCATAGGTCAATGGTACCAAATTTTAGAGCTAGTAAGTCAAGTGGAGTGTCACATGGATGCCACAAAGAAAAACCTTTAGTAGCATTGTGGTGCTACAATTATATTTATTCAAGCCACGATCTTTAAGTGAAGCAATGCATTGATTCATTAAACAGTGAGTCTATGTGAGCAAACATCATAGCAAAGGAAGACCTTCAGTGATGCGACGTTAGTTCATTTTATAGGCACCGCTTCGCAAGTGTCTCAAGAACTATAGTGCTAGAAGCTTTTGTATTTTTTTTAAATAATCTGTTAGTAATGTTAGTAAGAGAGTTTAATCACATTTTTAATTTTGGTCCTTATAGTGCTTCTCTAATATTTCCTTAGGAGTGAAATTATGAGAATTTAGAGAAGTACTAGATATTACATTCGAGTGTTTGACTTGTATTTGTGGAAGTAATTCTGTAAGTTTAAGGATGAGTGTAGAGAAGATTATTGAACCCATTCAATGATATATTTTCGTTTGTTCTTTCTTTTTCTTTTTTTTTGTAATTAATGAAAAAGAATTTGCTTCACTTGTTATTCATGCATGGCTAAATATTGTAGTTTTAGGTTGATGGTGTAAATAAAATATGAAGTACTAATAAATTCTCTTAATCAATAATTTCATGATGTTTTCAATATACCAAGTCTTCATTTAATAAACATAGTTTCCATAAGTGTAGTTAATATTAGGTGTAATGTGGAGCCTAGAAAAAGGAAAGAAGGCACAAACAATTATGTTGAATTGGTATGATAAAAGCATAGGTATAGTACTTGTCATGTATCAAATTTAGAGAGTTGAATTATCATGAGGGGGTTTTAATAGTACATGATTTACTTATTTTTTTAAGATTTTCATAGGGTGACAGGAAGTGGGAGTTTAGAGTTGTACTTAGATTGAAAGGTTTAATCTATTCTTTGTCTCTTCACACTTGACTGAGTGGTCAATGATACATATGCTATGAATAGTATAATACAAAAGAGAATCATTAGGAAACATATTGTATTTATATTTCATCAGTCTATAATAATTTATCCAAAAAGTATTTCATTTAATTATTTTTTATTTTAAATTAAGTGATTGAATCTCCACATAAACTAATTTTTGTTGAGTAGGATTTTTTTTTTTTTTTTTGTAGTTGAAGTAGTTAGTACAAGTATTTGCAAGTAAACATTCATCCTCGTGAGATCAATGCTCTACTTTATCACTATATTAATTGATTCGGCAAATATACTTGTGTATATTAAGTGGATTTTTTTATAATTTTTATATTAAAAGAACCGAAGCATTATTTAAGGATTGATAATACCCTAAATCATTTTAACAAATCTTTAAGTTACTCCATCGCCCCCATCAGGTTTTTGGAATCATTCCATGCGAAGAACTTATTTTATTTGAAATTTTAGTATTATATTGAATCAATTACATAATTAGTCCTATTATATTTTTATATTATTTTATTTTAATTTACTAATTTTATATTTATGGTTGCAAGCTTAAAAGATATAGAGGGGAGCACATTTAAATTTTGATTCTAAAATTGAGAGAAACATTTCTAAAATTAGAACCAGCAAAAAGATTTTTAAAATGACTAAACCTATTCAAAATTGAGATCTTTCTATACCTCTTAAGGATTTTGCAAACCCTTTAGTAGATAGAATTCACCAAAGCATAATTAGACCAGCCATCCACGCAAATAATTTTGAATTAAAACCTATAATCATTCAGATGGTATATTATTCTCATTTTAGGGGAACTCCCATTGAAGACCCTAACCTACAATTAACATATTTCTTAGAAATTTGTGAAAAATTTAAATATAATGGTGTTAGTGATGATGCCATTAAACTTAGAATGTGCCCATTTTCTCTAAGAGACAAGGCAAAAAAGTAGCTAAATTTTTTAGCCCCAATGCTCTATTACCACATGCAATGGGTTAGCCTAGGGGTTTCAATTTTGAGTCATGGGTTAACCCGAACCTTAACCATTTTTGCAAACAGGTTGATTTTTGGTTCCAAACCTGACCCGCTTTGGGTTCAGGTCAACCCGATCTGACCCACTGACACGAAAACACCGAGTACTAACTTCCAACTATAGCGGAGAAGGTGTGTTCTTGGTGTGACTTCCTTGAGTAGTTTTAACTTTTTATGTGAATTCCAAGCAAGCTCCTGACAGCGGATGGTAATGGACTAATGATGCAGCCCGATGTGATAAGATGAGCGAGCTCGCCATTTTGGATGGCAAGTGGATGTAAAGATGTGACTACCCATTTATGTTTTGAGTCTTTTGTAATGGCAGCAAATAGGGGAAAAAATTTTTATTTGGGGAAAGGGGTAGTGATGATGTAACCAAATTTAATAGAGGAGCACATTTTTAATTTTTTATCTGACATGTGGATTAGGGGATATGACATTGTGATTATTAAATATTTTTAAGAGTGGAACTATAGACATGATCAAATTGAAAGCATATATAACTATTAATCCTTTTAAATTTTTATGTGATGCGACTAGATGGAGTAACCTAGGTTAAATGGGTATATTTTAGGTTTTTGGGTCAACCCTAATTTGACCTGATTTTATAAATGGGTCGATAACTCTAACTCGATCTTGACCCATGTAATAAATGGGTTGACCTGAACATAAAATTTCTCGGGTCGTGTCAAGTTTTGACACCCCTAGGTTGGCCCATTAATTTCTAAGAAAGTATTTCCCACCTTCTTAAACTATCAAGCTTTGAAATGACATTACTTCTTTTACTCAATTAAAAGGAGAATCTATTTATGAGAATTATGAAAGATTCAAGGAGATGCTTAGAAAGTGCCCTCACCATGCCTTACTTGATTGGTTGATAATTAAAACTTTTTATAATGGATTGGTATGATCCCTTAGAGCCATAATTATTGCTACAATTGGAGGTTCTTTGATGTCAAAGCCTTTTAAAGATGCTTATGAATCAATTAAGGAAATGGAAATAAATAATTTCCAATAGCCTATTGATAGGGTGAATCTAAAGAGAGTGGAAGGAGTCTATGAAAATGATACTTTATCTATTTTTACTGCTCAAGTTACTATTATTTTAAAGAAATTGGATACATTAAATGTTAATAGTGATCTTAGGATATATAGTGTCGCTGCACCAAGATATTTAGCGTCACAATCCTATCCAATAGAATTTGAACAAATATATCATGAAAGGAATAGGAAGGAATCCTTGTAAAATATTATCCTCCAGTTAGGAATGCAAAAGAATAATCAATCTAATCCTCTTAAAAAAATTAAAGATCAAATAGGGAAATTGGTAAGGTTGATTCAATATCAAAACTTTGTAGAACAATGTCATAATATTCAACTTAGAAATGGGAGAGGGTTAAGAGTATTACAAATCTGGACCCAAGTAGTGTGATTTTGATGATAATAAATATTATTTTTCTTCACTACTACTATTATTCTTGCATATCTGCTTTATTTGTCTAGCTCACTAACCTTTTAGGTCCATAAGTTCACTTGAAATATCAATCAGCTCATGATCATGTAGATTAGGATTGAGTCAGTCTGTAATTTCTATTCAAATGCATCTTTTTCCTTTTCTTTAGTCAAATGTTCTATGATGGATCCTAAAGCTAAGTAACCTTGCACACACACACTTTGGGGGAGAAATTTGGCTAGTTATAATTTTTTTTTTATCATATCATATAGGATGATTTTAAATTATTCTAAATAATCAGTTAAAAATAGAAACCCTAATTAGGGCTTCTAGGTCAAGTAAACCTTATTAAGCAAATCATCATGGATGATATTCCCATCATCCTGGATGATATGCTTGAATCACAAAAATCATCCACCAAACTCATTTAAGTAAGATTTTAAAACTCTCAAATTTGCACTAATCATACAAGACAATCATGATCATCCTGGATGATTCATACCAATCATGCCTAAATTGATTAGGTGATTAGGAAAGTAATTAAGGTTAGATTGATTGATCATATTATCCAGGATGATTGCAGAATCATGCTAGATGATATATAAGAAAAACCTTAATTTTCTTCTTAACCTCCTAGACGTCCTGAACTATTTACTGGATGATCTAATTTTGAACTAATTGTCCAGGAAGATATACACATCAGCCTGAACAATCAACTATATTTCTTCATCATCCTGATTTATCTACTGGATGTCCCAAACTATATATTGGATGATAATGATTGATTCTGAACTAATCGTATAACATGATATCCACATCATCCTGGAATATCATAACATATTTTATGTTTTAATCCTCTAGGAAACCCAGATCATCTTGGCTAGAAGGGCTTATTTAAACTAATCATACAGAATGATTGACAGATCATCATAGATGATCTTTGATGGCAATTTAAAAATTAGGGAATTTTTTTAAGGCCTTCTATTTAAGCTCTCTCAATTGCTCATGATAAAATCTTTTTTTGTTGTCCTGACCTAAAAGAGCTAAGATAAGGATAAGGAGAGTTTTGGAGAGAGAAAGGGAGAATATTATGAGGGGATTCATAGAGGTTGCTCAAAGTAAGGATTTGATCGTCTTCTTCAAGCTTCATCTTTGGTTCCTTGGTGGTTCTAAAGGAGACGACCATCAGCATCTGTTTAAGGTTCTCTGCCTACTCCAGGATGGACTAAAAGGATTATAAGTTCTCTACCTTCACTAGGAGGGTGAAAAAGGATTCAAGGTTCTTCGCCTCAACAGGACGGTGAAAAGATTTTTTAAGGTCTTCTCCACCTTACTGTGGGAGTAAAAGGAGAGTCACTAAAGGTTTATTGAAATACTTAGAGAGTGTGTCTCCAAGGAGTGGACGTAGGTCAATTTGACCAAGCCACTATAAATCTTGTGTTCTTTCTTATTACTTTTCTATATTTTAATTTCCATACTTTAATTTTTATTGGTTGATTGATGGTTAAAATCTTTGATTTGTTTTATTATTTGCTTCTGCATAAAAGGTTGATCATGTTTATTTTAAAATATTAAAAATGATTTTTCTTTTTATTTAAAAATTTTTAAAACTACCAATTCACCCCCTATTGGTTAGCCTCGGGCTAGTTCGTAAGGGCTTAACAACTCTAATGAACATTCAAGTGGTATTAGAGTGGGGTTCATAAACTCAAGTTTTAGAAAACTTTTAAATTTTGATCAATGGCTAACTTTGGAATAAAAACACCATGGAAGATATTCAATTACAAGACCACCTCTTTTTGATAACATACATTTTGATTTTCAGAAAACTCGCATGCTCACTTTTTTATAATAAATTGATTATCGTATGTGGATGCTTATTAATGATGGATATTATGTACCATTTAGACTTGTTGATAGCATGAAAATTGAACTTTCTTTTACTGAATGGACTTTTGATGATTAAGAATTAGCACAACTGAATGCTAAATTTTTTAACTATTTTTTTGTGCCTTAAAATTTGAAGAGTATATGTGTGTTTCCACTTGTTCTACTGGAAAATAAATTTCATACAAATTATGTATAACTTATGAAGGCACAAGTGAAGTTAAGCAATCTAGGTTAAATATTTTACAACATGATTATGAACTTTTTTGCATGAAACATAGTTAGTCAATTTCTAAGATGTATACTATATTTATACAAATTTTTATATCCCAACATGCTTTAGGAAGAGAACTAGCAAACTATGAAAATGTTAACAAGATATTGAGTTGTTTACCTTCTTCTTTTGATGCAAAAATTACTGTCATTATTGAATCTAAGGATTTGAATATTTATTCAATTGATAACTTACTTGGATCACTCATTGCTTATAAGTAAGGAGTGAACCAAAGTCAACTTGACGTAGGAGAAAAGAAAGAGGTAAAAGCTATAACCTTAAAGGCTAATGATTCGGATGCTGATTCTTCTAGTTCTGACATTTATGACATTTCTTTAATAACAAGGCAATTGAAGAGCTTTTTAAGGAAAAAGCAAAAGCATCATCAGAAATGGAACAAGGGTAAGAATAATAAAAATTCTAAAGTTTCTTCTGATGTTACAGGGCATCTGAAATCTTATTTCCCAACTTTGAAAGCTCACCTAAGTAAGGAGGAGGGTGAAGAAAAGCGTAAGTTCTTGAAGGATAATAAGTGGATTCAAAAGGCTTTCTAGACAGATTTTGCATATGACTGCTCTGAAATTAAAGATGAAAAGGAGATAAGAAACTTGTGTTTGATGGTGGATGATCATCTTGGTCGCTATGACCAAGAAGAGGTACATTAATTAATATATGAATAATTATTTAAAATTTCTAAAAAAAAATTCATTCTTTGTAAAGGAAGCTTAAGAAACTGCATGCTAGTCTTAAAATTGATTTTTTATGTTTACAAAAACAGCATAAAATTCTAAGTAAAGATCATTCCACTCTGGATAGCAATCATATGACTGTTGGATGAATTTGAATTATTGAATGTAAATCATCTTGATTTAACAAATGAGCATGATTTCTTGAAAAGTTTATATATTGAGATAAAAAATGCATATAAGGACTTAGACACTCTTGCAACTGATTTAGATAGTAGGGAGCATGCTTTGAAAATAGAAATTTTATTTCTTGAAAATACAAATAAGTTTTAAGAAGCTAAATTAATTGCTTTCAAAGAAAATAAAAAACCACCCATAATGCTTGAGTTTCACAATCCATCAGATAAGCATGCATCATTTAAACTTAAGAAGAGGCACTATAACCCGAGTAGATTAGTAAAACCTTTTTTTTTGTGTAAGAAGTTTTTTTTCTTGTGGCATGGTAAGACATATCTCCCACTCTTACATCGTTCACCATAACGCTCATCTGGTGTGGAGACCCAAATTGCATAATTCATAGCATAACACATTCATTGTATTCTTTTTTTTCATAAGAAGGGGCCCAAACTTATTTTGGTTCCTAAATCTAACATTTGATAATTTTTTAGGTGTGCTCTCACATAAGACCTTATGAGAGCATGTGGTATATAGATAGTGGAAGCTCATGCCATATGACTGGAGATACTAATTAATTCATTTTATTGGAGGCTAGTGCTGGAGACAAGGTCACTCTTAGAGACAACACCACCAAGAAGTGGTAGGCATAAGTATAATAAAAAAATCTAAGAACCTTTTGATTAAAATATTTTACTTGTTGATGGCTTAAATATAATCTGCTAAGCATAAGCCAGCTATGTGACAAAGGCTACATAATTAAATTTCTAACTGCTAGCTGCATCATAAGCCTGAATGGAAAAATTATGCTGCATGAAAAAAGATTGAATAATATTTACATGCTAGATTTAAATTCTATTAATTCTAATAACACCTTTTGCCTAAAAACTATTGTTGATGAGTCTTTATTATGGCATAAGAAATTGTCTTGCTAGCATGAAAACACTTAGAAAAGTAACCCAAAAAGACTTAGTAAGAGGGATCCCCAAGCTTGAATTCACTAAGGACAACCTATGTAATGCCTGTCAATTAGAAAAACAAGTCAAATTCTCTTTTAATTCCATTAAGGACATTATCACCTCTAAACCTTTAGAAGTCCTTCACATGAATTTATTTGGACCCTTTAACATTGCAAGCTTAAGGAGAAACATTTTTGGGTTTGTAATAGTTGATGACTATTCTGAAAGTGCTCAGATGACACTAGAAAGTGCTCTAATACCACTTGAAAGTTTGTTAGGGATGTTAGGTCCCTTATGAACTGGCTCAAGGCTAATAAAGAGATAGAGAGGTGAATCAGTATTTAAAACAAACACAATCTTAAAACTAAAACCAAGATTCACCACAATCAAAACCAACGATGCGGAAATCAAATGCGGAAGCAATAATAAGA